ACTATTTACAATAGCCAAAAGATGGAAACAACCTAGATGTCCATCAACTGAGGAATGGATAACCAAACTATGGTACATACACACAGTGAAATACTATGCAATGCTAAAGAATAATGTAGAATCTGCAAAACACTGCATAACATGGATGAGCTTGGAGGACATTATGCTGAGTGAAGTAAGTCAATCCAAAAGGACAAATACTGTATTAGTCTGTTATTGTAAAAGTCAAAGGAAAGGTTTATCTGTGGAAGGAAATTTTCTTTGTTGGTTACCAGGGGTGGGAGGGGAGGGGAGGGAACTCTGTTAGGTAGAGATAAGTATTGATGTGGGTGAATAGAAGGGCAATGGACCAAATGTGAGTGATTAACATGGTGCCACTGAGGAAAAGGAAGACATAGGTACATGGGAGGTGCAGACAACAAAGATGAACATACACATACAGTACTGTGTTGTCAGTGAGGGCAAACATAGGTACACCAGTGGATAGATGGGTGGACAGGCTGAACTATTAGGTATGTCTGTGCAGTGGGGAGTGTACCCAAGACCATGTATAGGGTTGGCAGACAATGGTTCTACAAGTGTATTTGTATGTTCTGTAAGAATTCCCAGGTGTATAGTAGAGCTGACAAGGTACAAGGTTGTAGACACTTGTTGGTCACAGCCAGCTACCCAAAGGGACCGAGTAGTTGAACCTGTGGGCTCAGGACCATAGTTGCAGGGGACAGGAGGCTCAATTCACATAATATACTACACAAAATATTGTTCCACATCCTACTTTGGCGAGTAGTGACTGGGATCTTAAAAAATTGCAAGCAGCCATCTAGATGCAACGATGGGTCTCTCCTCCTCCATAGCAAAGAATGATGAAGAAAACCAAAGATTTATGGAAACAATTAGTACAAGCGACTGATACACCATGTGATCTGCAGCCTATAGGACCATGAGACCAGAAGAACTAGATGTTGCCCGGCTACCACTGTGAACCACTCAGAGGGGAATCAATGTAGGAGATCCTGGATAGAGAGGGAGAACAATGTGGAACAAAACTCAAAAATCATTTGGGGTTAAAAAAAAAATAATAAAAGGGACCACGTTTGCTGGTATGATAGAACCTGCTGGAACCACTGAGACTATGGCCTCTAGCTGCCCTTGAGGTCTGGAATCAAATTCACACCTGTGGCTTCCAGCCAAACAAAAGACAGGCACATGAGTTGAACATTTACCCAAGGTAGATACACTCCCTGGAGAGAACAATCATGGGAGAAAAAAGGGCTGTTTATGCATAGGGAGAGAGCTCAGGGGGCAGGAGTGCATGGAGGGAAGGACACAGGGAAGAGGTAACTATCAGGAGGAAGTGGGAAGGGAGCTGTTGCATTGGGGTCAATTGTAGTCAATGTCATGAGACAAAGTGTATGTGAACTGCTGTATGGAAAGTGAATTTGCTCTGTAAACTTTCACCCAAAATTACAATTAAAAACAAAACCAAAAACAATTCTGAGTCATGGCAACCCCCTTTGGGTTTCTGAGGCAGTAAATCTTTAGAAGTAGATTGCCTAGTCTTGCTTCCATGGAATGGCTGGTGGGTTTGAACCACCACCATCTGGTTACCAGTCAGATACCTTAGGGACTGTGCTACCAGAGCTCCTCTGAGAGTCTATAGGCAGGTGCTTAAGGTGGTTTTGCCTGACAGTCCTGAAATACCACTTCAGGTTTGTCTTAGAAGCTTCCTTCCTGGTACACATCCTCCTGCAGCTACAGCCATGGACCTGTAAAAGAGCTGCTAGCACACAGCAGGGTCTGGCAGTGCCACAGGTCGGTCCTTTGTGCTTAAGTCACACTCAGGTAACAGTGAATGCTATGTTTTTGCATGTTCTCCATGGTGACTTCCCCACAACCCAGCTTTCCTGGGGAGGCCACTTGGGTGGTGGAGCAGTTACAGATGTATGCCTCACATATACTTCCCATGGTATCCATACTGCACCTGTTCATCTGGGCTGGAGGAGGAGCCACCCACCCATAAGCCTGGACCTAGCACTCCTGGGCATGCTGGGGAACAAGTGAGACCTGTCCTCCTACGTATCTTGCTAATGAGACACCTTCTATACCCTTAAGACAGTGAAGTGTACACTTCTCCACATTGAGACATGTGTCAGCACTCTGGGCTTGTCTCCTTAGCAATCCTGAGCTCCAGAGGAGTCTCCCGAAGCTTCTCTTCCTGCACCAAGAACCAGCCTGGGACTGGTACAGGGTGTTGTGGATGCAGGAAATGGTACTAGCAAGGCCTTGACAAACCACCCCTCAAGTGATCAGCTGCTGAGGGAGGCCCGTGGGAGTAGAGTTTATGTCTCTAGGGCCTGAGCCTACTGCCCTGTTTGGCCCTTCTTCTCAGTGCTCCCCTGAGTCACTGCACTTGCATCTTGTATATGGTGTATATCTTCACCATGCTAGCACAGAGCTGGCTACTGGATATGTGCTGACAGATTTCTGGGACAGGCTGAGGTGAGGTAGCTACTATCCTGGCTTTCCTATATAGGGTCTGCTATGAGAACAGACCCCTCTCTTTGATTCATGCCAGAGCAAGGAATGATAGGATCCCCACTGCTGTGGAAATAGGCAGACCCAGACAGGGTACAGACTACCCTGAAGTCCCCAGGGGAGGCAGAGATGGGACACCAGGCTTATCCTGTGTTTCTGGAACCCCTCCTAAAAGGAAGCTGAGATCAATTTATATGAAATAAAATATGACGTGTTAAAGAGCACTTTTAAGCAGATGTATTTCAGTTCTCCACAAACGTCCTGAAGACAATTTGCCAAAATGAAAACATCAGTCTGGCTCAGCTGCTTTTGTAAAAATGTCCCCATCTCCTCTCAGCAGGAAAGAGGTGGCTCCATTGGGGTACAGGAGCTTGGGGGCCAGTGGTTACCACAACCATGACAGCTCTCAGCCTGGTGATCCTGAGTTGGGAGCATCTTTGGGTGTGAAGGGTGATGAGGCCTGAGGGGCCTCTAGCTGAAGAAGGTGAGGAGGAACACAGAGAGAGGGAAGCCCTAGGAGCAAAGGGACAGAGGGCATAGACAGTTCCCATGGGCATACAATCTGTTGAATCACTCTGGCTCCTTCCAAGAAGGCTTCTCATCAGGTAGGTGGCTGCAGCAGCTGAACACCGAGCGCTTCTGAAAAGCTCATAAATACAAAGTGAAAACGGAAGCAAGGAAACAACAAAAAGGTGCTAACAGTCTTATCTAGTCTCCAGGTGCCTCGTTTTTCCTTCCCAGTCATCCCGAGTAGGAGGCTGCCTGGGCGGGAGAGAAGTACCCACAGGGGCTGTGCTCACATCAGGACCGGCCCTGGGCTCCTCCGCAGTGCAGCCCACCTTGTTGTTGAAGCGCTTGGAACAGCTGCGCTTAGGAATGGTGCGGCGTGGGCCAGGCTTGTGGAGGCCTCGTAAGTCCCAGAGGCGCAGCGAGCCGTCATGGGAGGCGGTGTACAGCACCTGTTCGTGCACCTGCGCAGTGTGGAGCGCATGAAGGGACATTATTAACACACTTTGCTGGAAATCTTTCCCTACCGCGGGCGGGAGGTAACTGAACGTCTGACTGTCCCACCACGTGCCAGCCAGAAGACTTGCAGAGGCTGCCCACACATAACCTAGGAGCCGAACGTGCGTTCTGGTTATCAGCTTGATGGCCAGAGTGATGAGAAGGGCACTGCGGTGCGGACCAGGCCTAGAGCCAGTGCGCCTGCGGCCTCTTTTCTGATAGGGCTTAGACCCGTTCTCCCTTGCATTCAGCTAGCAAGCCCCAGGGGTGGGGGGCGGGGGGGCCTACCTGGATGCAGTTGATAATGAAGGCGTGGCCACGGAACACTCTCTGCAGCACTCCAGACTGGGTGTTGAAGGCGCGGGCACAGGCGTCCCCACTGCCTGTAAACACTGTGGACACCAAGCACACACACTGGGCTCTCCCGCAGCTGAAACCCACCCCGGTCCTCCGTTCCTTCCCCAGAGGAGTACTGGAACACACACAGGAAGGGCAGGATCTGGGGCCATCTCTGAGAGGCAGCTCCTCCCAGTCAGATGGTGAGTACTGCCTGTCTGCCTGCCTTCCTGCCCCACAGGGCTGTTAGAGGGTTCAAATAGAAAAGATGCAAAGGCTCTTCAAAAGGAATGAGGTACTACATAAATGGTGGCTCCTTTACCATCTCCCTAGTCCCTGGGAGCTCAATGTGAACAAAAGGGTGGTCTGAGGTCTCTGCAGGTCTGCGCTGCCTTTCTTCCTTGGGCTTCAGGTCACCTCACACTTCTCCTGAAGGCCTCTGCACAGGTCCTATTAGTCTTGCCTGAGCCCCATCCTGTTTCACAGCAAGGACTAACCAAAAAGGCATTTCTCTGGTGGAGACTGCCCTGCTCAGCAATGAACTTGGCCCCTGAAACAAAACCAAAATCCTCCACAGTTCTCTCAGAGTTCTGCAGAACCACTCTAGAGAGAGGCACCTGTAGACCGTCAGTTTCCTTTCCCCTAGGCTTGTGCTTCCCCTTGGAATTTGTTTCTGCATTACAACTTACTCCAACTGTTCTCAAATTTTAGAGTACACAGAAGCCCCTGGAGGGCTGGTAAAACTGATGGCTGGGCCCCACACCAGAGTTTCTGATTCAGTGGGCTTGGGGTAGGGCCTGGGAACTTACACTTCTAACAAGTCCTGGGCTGTGCTGAGGCTGCTAGTCCAGGGAGCACACCGAGAGCCACTGGCCTAAAGGACTTCCTTATTCAACTGCTGCCTTAGATTGCATTATAAGTTAGTCCCAGGAGACACCTGGAACTAGGATTTGAGTGCATACAGCTCATTGGGCAGTGGATTCCAGAAAGCACCTGTGGGGCCACAGGGAAAAGGAACAGGGAAGGGAAGGATGCCGATATAGGTGTGTTAATGAGGTTAATGAGGAAACTGCTGTGGGCACCTGGAGTTCAGTCCTGCTGGGGACCTGGGGAGACCACTCCTCAGAACTGTCCCACCTGAGGAACAAGGCCACTGAGTCCCATTAGTCATTTTTTGAGGGCTGCTTTTGGTGTTCACTCCTAGCATCTTTGGGTGGTACCTCACAGACAAAGGCCTTGCAGAGAACCCAGGTGGTGAGTGCAGAGTACCTACTACACTTACTCACTTTTTGTGCCTTCCCCTCCATCAATCCTGAGGCTGACATGGGGCTGGTGGGCACTGGGGTGGGAAGGGCCAGGAGCACTGCCTACTCATTCTGTGGCCCATTCACTTTGAGACTGCTTCAGCTTCAGGTGCAATTCCAGCTGCTGCCATGGGAAGGGGTTCAGGTGCCACCTGCAGTGGAAGCCTTTCCTATATCCTGCTAGCAGGAGCCCTTTGAGAGGAGTATTCCACTCTTTAATTTAAAAGTCCTGGACTTGGAAATAGAGCCACAATCACGTTCACACATAAAGAAGGAAAAAATAACTTTTCAGTGTCAGACATCTCAATCCTGAGGGCTCAGGCTCTATTTTCAGAAATTCCCATTCTATCTTTATCTAACACTTTTGCTGTGAAATCAACATTTAATTTTCCACTGTGACCCTCCTCCTCTAATCTCACCAAGTCTCAGTGCTAGATTACATTTGAGTTCAGCTCTGTCATGGAGTGGAGGTAATGGCGGGGGGGCTGATGGCAAAGTGTGAGCTTGGAAGAAGGCAGGTAAAGTTTTGGAAAGACCTTCAGGAATTTGGGAGTCCTACCCCTATTCTGTGCAGTGAGGCTGGGATTGCTTCTCCTTGCGGTGTCTGTTCTCTGGGTTTGTCTGGGGCAAACATGGGAAAAGCAAGCCAAGCCTGATCTGTGACAATTTGAGACCTGTGGGACAGCTTGTTGTCTCCCCAACAAGCCATTCTGCCTTTCTTTCCTTACAAAATACTCCTGATCTTAATCCTCCCAGCAATGTCCACAGATTAAAAAAAAAAAAAAATCATTATTCAATCTTTCTTACAGGGAGAATGGTCAAAGAGATGTTTGCAGAGGTCCTTTGGGTGGGGCCTACTCAGCTAAAAGGCGCATCCTTTTCCCTTCCCTCCTCCTTTTCTTCCTTTCTGCCTTAAACATGATATGGCTGAGCTCCAGCAGCTGTATTGAACCATGAGGCCACCTTGAAGACAGAAGATAGTGCTAAGGATGATGAAGCAAAATAACAGAATACTGGCACCTGATGACTTTGTGGGCCACCTATTCCAGCCCCAAGTGAAAGCAAAAGCCATGTGGCCCTCAAGTCTGGCTAGATTAACTAGATGTCACTGCCTCAGTTTGAGAATTAGAATCTGTCCTTGAGAGGTTTTTTTACCCTAGAAGTTCTGAACATTCAGGTCCTCCCCACATTCTTGTAAGGTAAAGATGAAAGGAACCCCAAGTCCTTATTTGACCTCCTCTCCATAATAACCTGGGAGAACACAAGACGACATGTGGAGAAGGCCTAGCTGCAGCCAGGGCTATTAGAGGCACCAGAGCAGGCAGGTGAGTAAACACAGGGCATGCGAAGCAGGCCCTAGCAGGGAATTTGGAGAGGTTCCAGGAAGCAAGGCACAACTGGCCGTGCAGAGGGGTGTAGTAAGCACTGGCAGGGTAGGTCACTTACAGGTGCCTGCGTGGTACTTGAGGGCGCTCACGCTGTGTCTGTGGGCCTTGAAGGTGTGCATGCATTCACCCGTGTCTGTCAGCCAGCACTTGACCGTCCTGTCAGCGCTTCCTGAGTACACATGCCGGTTCACGAGCTGGGAAAGAGAGGGGGTTCACTGGCTGCCTAGCAGTCTTGAGCCAGGAAGGAACTCTGCCTTTGTTGACCCCGCCTAGTCTCTCACTCCCGAGGGCAGGGCCAGAAAAGCAAATTTGGGAGTAGAGAGAGATCTGGGTTCAAACTTTAATCTGCCACTATTCCCTGGCCCTCAGTTGCTCCACCAATAAATTAGGACAGCACCTTCCAGGGAGGTTGCACAGATATCACTTGAAGGCACTTGGCACCAGGCAGTGCAAGCATGGACAGACACTAGCCCTTATTGCTATTATTATTATCAAATCTATCATCTCTATATCACCACTTGTCTGTCAGTTTGTTATACTATGGTGGCTAGTATGTTGCTGTGATACTGGAAGCTACGCCACTGGTATTTCAAATACCAGCAGGGTCATGCATGGTGGAGAGGTTTCAGCAGAGCTTCCAGACTATGACAGATTAGGAAGAAGACACGGCAGTCTACTTCTGAAAAAATTGGCCACTGAGAACCTTATGAATAGCAGTGGAATACTCTGAAATAATACCAGAAGCCCCTCAGGTTGGAAGGCACTCAAAATACTACTGGGAAAGTGCTGCCTTCTTCAAGTAGAGTTGACCTTAATGATACGGATGGAGTAAAGCTTTCAGGACCTTCATTTCTTGCTATGGCCTAACTCAAGATAAGATTAAACAGCTGCAGACATCCATTAATAATCAGAATATGAAAGTTTGAAGTATGGCTCTAAGAAAATTGGAAATTGCAAAAAATGAAATGGAATGGATAAAGATAGATATCCTAGGCATTAGTAAGCTGAAATGGACTGGTATTGGCTATTTTGAATTGGATAATCATATGGTCTACTATGCTGGAAATGACAAATTGAAAAGGAACAGTGTGGTAGTTAAGGTTGTATGTCACCTTGGCTGGGCTGTGCTTTTTCAGTGCCTTGGAAGCTGGATGTAGTTATTCCCCATGATAAGATTGGATGTGGTGTGCCTTTGGGGCATAAATCTGCTTCCAATATATATGGAGAAACTTTGGGAAATATCTGTAGCTTTTTTGCTCATTTTGTGATTCTGCATTTGGCCTGTCATCATCTCCAGTTCCTGGACTTCAACCAGTGGCCTGCCATATTCCCTGCCAATCTTGGAATTTTTCCCTTCACAACCTATGAGTCAACAAGGATTCATCAGACTCAGCAGTACCTAAGCCCCTGCAGCTGCAGGAGTCAGGAGAAGCCTCCAGCTTGCACCAGTGGTCCTGGAAGGCAGAGGTGAAGCCCAAGGTTGAGGGGCCTCCACCCAGCCCCTAGAGCTGGCTTTCTGAACTTGGGCCTCTAGCCTAGCCTTCTCCTAGAGCCAGCACTCACAATTTGGACTTTTTACTTCCTAAACTGTAAGAGAATAAATTTCTATTTATTGAAGCCATCTAGTTGTGGTATTCTATTATAAGCACAAGAGAACTAAGACAAATGGCATGACATTTATAGTCAAAAAGAACATTTCAAGATCTATCCTGAAGTACAGTGGTGTCAGTGATAAGATAATATCCACACACATACAAGGAAGACCAGTTAACGCTACTATTACTCAAATTTATGCACCAACCACTAAAGCCAAAGATGAAGAAACTGAAGAGTTTTAACAACTTCTGTAGTCTGAAATTGATCAAACTTGCAATCAACATGCATTGATAATTCTGGTGACTGAAATGCAAAAGTTGGGAATGAAGAAGGATCAGTAGTTGGAAAATAAGGTCTTGGTAACAGAAAGATGCCAGAGATCACATGACAGAATTTTGTAAGACCAATGACTTATGCATTACAAATACCTTTTTTTCATCCACATAAATGGTGACTATACACATGGACTTTGCCAGATGGAATCCACAGGAATCAAATGGACTCTGTAGAAGAGGTGATGGAGAAGCTCAGTATCATCAAACAGAACAAGGCCAGGGCCTGACTGTGGAACAGACCATTATGCAAGTTCAAGTTGAAGCTGAAAAATAATCAAAACAAGTCCATGAGAGACAAAATATGACCTTGATTATATCCCATCTGAATGTAAGAGACCATCTGAATAATAGATTTGATGGATTGAACAACCAATGACCAAAGACCAGACAAGTTGTGGGATGACATCAAGGACATCATATGTGAAGAAAGCAAAAGGTCATTAAAAAGACAAGGAAGAAAGAAAAGACCAAAATGGATATCAGAGGATATTCTGAAACTTGTTATTGAATGTAGAGTACCTAAAGCAAGTAGGAGAAATGAACTACAAGAGTTGAACAGAAGATTTCAAAGAGCAGCTCGAGCAGACAAAGCCAATTACTATGATGAAATGTGCAAAGACTTGGAGTTAGAAAACCAAAAGGGAAGAACATGCTTAGCATTTTTCAAGCTGAAAGAACTGAAGAAAAAATTCAAGCCTCAAGTTGCAATACTGAAGGATTCTAAGGGCAAAACAATGAACAAAACAGGAAGCATCAAATGAAGATGAAAGGAATATACAGTTACTTTACCAAAAAGAGCTGGTTGACATTCAACCATTTCAGGAGGTAGCGTATGATCAAGAACTGATGGTACTACTGTGGAAATTGGTATGGCGATTCCTTAAAAAGTTGGAAATAGAAACACCATTTGATCCAGCAATCCCATTCCTAGGTATATATCCTAAAGAAGTGAGAGCCAGGTGGGGACCAGGTTTGCTGGTCTGATAGAGCCTGGTGGAACCACTGAGACTATGGCCCCTAGCTGCCCTTCATGTCTGGAATTGAACCCACACCTGTGGTTTCCACCAAACAAAATACAGGCATGTGAGTTAAACATTTACCTCAAGTAGACACACGCCCTGGGAAGAACAATCATTGGAGAAGGAAGGGCTGCTTATGCACAGGGATACAGCTCAGGGGGCAGGAGAGTATGGAGGGATGGACACGGAGAAGAGGTAACTATGGGGAGGAAGTGGGAGGGGAGCTGTTGCATTGTAGTAAACTGCGGTCAATGACATGAGACAAAGTATACGTGAACTGCTGTATGGAAAGTGAAATTGCTCTGTAAATCTTCACCCAAATCACAATAAAAAAAAAAAAAAAAAAAAGAAGTGACAGCCAGAACAAGAACAGATTTATGCACACCCATGTTCATCATAGCACTATTCACAATAGCAAAGAGATGGAAACAACCTAAGTGCCCATCAACAGAAGAATGGATAACCAAACTATGATACATACACACAATGGACACTATCCAACACTAAAGAATGTAGAATCTATAAAACACCACCTAATGTGTATGAACTTGGAGGACATTATGCTGAGTGAAGTAAGTCAATTACAGAAGGACAAATATTGTATTAGTTCACTAATATGGACTATATATGGAAGGAAACTTTCTTTGTTGGTTACCAGAGATTGCTTGGAGGGGAGGGAGGCTGCTAGATCGGTAGAGACAAGTATTGATTAGGATGAAGGGAAAGGCAATATACCAAAAGTATATTATACACAATAACACTAAGGAAAAGGAAGACACAGAGAGGTGCACAAGAGATACAGACAACAAAGATAAACCCTGTTATATATACAATACTGCATTATCAGTGAAAACAAACACTGATCTACAGGTAAATAGATGGGTAGGCAGGCTGAATGATCTGGTAGACTGGGTTCTCTAGAGAAACAAAAACCAGCAAAGCTTATATATATATATATA